GTGTGTTTGCGGGTTACACCCCGCTCACTGTGACGTGTTCTGCTGCATATGAATGACACTAGGAGGGACCTAGCGTGTGTGGGGCGCATCCTGTGTTAGTTTGAGGTGCGTAGTTTTGCCAGTTTTGGTGTTGGACCGCCCACACCGGGGTGCACGCGCGCTTGCACATGGTGCGCCATATGGGGTGGTGCGTGTGTGGTGTGTTTGCGGTTACACCCCGCTCACTGTGACGTGTTCTGCTGCATATGAATGACACTAGGAGGGACCTACGTGTGTGGGGCGCATCCTGTGTTAGTTTGAGGTGCGTAGTTTTGCCAGTTTTCGTGTTGGACCTGCCCACACCGGGGTGCACGCATGCTTGCACATGGTTGCGCCATTATGGGGTGGTGCGTGTGTGGTGTGTTTGCGGTTACACCCTGCTCACTGTGACGTGTTCTGCTGCATATGAATGACACTAGGAGGGACCTGCGCGTGTGGGGCGCATCCTGTGTTAGTTTGAGGTGCGTAGTTTTGCCAGTTTTCGTGTTGGACCGCCACACCGGGGTGCACGCGCGCTTGCACATGGTGCGCCATATGGGGTGGTGCGTGTGTGGTGTGTTTGCGGTTACACCCTGCTCACTGTGACGTGTTCTGCTGCATATGAATGACACTAGGAGGGACCTGCGCGTGTGGGGCGCATCCTGTGTTAGTCTGAGGATGCACGCGTCTTTGTAGTTCGAGACATGGTTGTTGATGTGGTTGAATAGCAATATAGAAGATCTCGTGCAGGGAATGTCACACCAAATAAAACCCGCACAGGCGGTTAACAGGGCCCTATTAAGTCACGCACACGCACACACACACGGACGCATACTTTCTCTCTCTCTCTCTCTCCCTCTCTCTTTCTCTCTGTCTCCGTCTGGCCGGGTTGTTGGTTGGTTTACATGAGTTAGAGGTGTCTGCTCAGACACTTTGGGCTTTGGTTGTTTTGCGGTGTGGCCGACTGGGAAAGGAGCTGATTTGCCAATTGCAGGTGCAATTACAGCCGAATGTGGGCCACCGGGAATGCAGACGCACCCTGGCAACGGACAGCCAACAAACCAAAGAGCAGCACAAATGGGCAAGACGAGGAGGACGAGGAGAGCTGGTGGGGATGGTGGGGATGGTGCGGCTGGGATTGAGGTGGCGTGGTTGGCCGTGAACCCGGATGGAGATGATCGAATCACCCGCAAACAACTGTTGGATGCAGTGCACTTGATCGACCACATCAAGGTCACACAGGTGTGCTTCACATGTTTGACTTCTGGCCTTGGTGCAAGTTGTCAACGTTGGTAGTGGTTCTGGTCCTCACCGCTGCGAGAAGTGCAACAAGACGTGCAGGTCTGTTCGACACCTCAAGGATCACATTCGAAAGTCAAAGGCGCATGAAGACGAGTACAAGGTACTTGCCCGCGCTTGCCTCTGTCCCCCCAATGCCTGTTTTATGTTGGCGCTGCCTCTGCTGGCACAGTCACACAACCTTGTTGTGCTCACAACTGGCACTCCTTTGCATGTTGCGTTGCATATGCTGTTCACAACAGACGAGGGACACGTTTGTTTGCGTGAACTGTGACTGTGGCGGGTTTCCGAGCTGCGCACAGCTTGTGGCACATATCCAAAGCAACCATCCTTCATACCATGAAACGGGTGCGTCCTTTGCCGCCTTTGACTGCTCTCGTGTTCTCGTTCATGTCACCCTGGTTTCTGTGTGCTTGTGTGTGTCGGGCCACATACATGCGCATCCGATGCACCCCTCCCATTCATTCACGCCCATCGCTGTGCTTGTGTCAGTGGTGGATATGCGCCATTTCAGAACCCTGAA